GCCGGCGGCACACATGTGTCGCCGCCGGCAGCCATGGCGGCTCTCTGCTGGCACCGAGAGCGCCGCTGAGGCTCGGCGAGAATTGATGACTCGTCGGCCGTCAGCTCCCCTCCGAAAAATGCCGCCCGGCCAGAACGATGTGACAGCGAACACAGGGGATAATTAAACTCACACGGCGCCGCCAGCAGTCGGATGAATAAAATGGCACGGGCCCCGGACCGACGGCCGATATAAAAACGGTCCAGAGCCGCTGCTCCGTTGGCAGGCCTGCCATAACCGCGTGTTGAGCGGCGCCGGCCGCCGATTCGTCTTGCTGACATTTGACATTGCATTACTAAATCTGCAGCCTGCAAGTACGTGTTGGGGTATCTGCTAAAGCGAGTTTAACAAGGAGACAGGATGCCGCGACAGGGTATGCAGCGAAAGCTCTCCGTGTTTGCGGCTGTGGTCGGTAGTTGCCCGTGCTACGGACGGAGGGGCATCGGATGGTGACTGGTGACGTAAGGCGTAACGTTGGTGACTGCTGATAGGCAGGGTCGGCTGGTGACTCTGGTGATGGAGAGGGCCGACACAGAGCCATTTTGACGTCTCCGCCTGCTGTTGCCAATGGAGATGATGTCGACCAGTGACCTGTCCCCGGACCGGGCCGGGCCGGACCAGGGCGCGGCCGGACCGGACCGAGCCGGACCAGGGCGCGGCCGGCCGGCAGTTGCAGCGCCGTCCGCGGACCGATCGATGGGCGCCGGCCGGGAGCCGCTCTCCCGGCACACACACACACACACAGATATCGGCTCTGCCCTCCTCGGGAGATTTGGGCCGGCTTTGAGGACGGCGCGGCTCCCCCGCGCCGGCTGACAGTGACAAATCGCCTCCGCCAGTCGACGCATTAGCCGCCCCGACCGAGAAAGGGCAAATTTAATCAGCTATTCGCCGCTGTTTTCCTAATAACTCTGTCTCCGACCGGCGGCAAGCAACTGCTTCGACTTGCATAAGCTATGATAATTGTGACGACGTGCCGGCGGCGGCGGTCAGGTGGGGGAATTAAAAATGGCAGCGGGCGGCTGCAAGGCCGCCGCGGCCGCGCGGCTGCGCCTGTGGATCTCCCCTGCCGCGCGCCGTCCCATAAGTCACTGCAAGAGATATCATATGCAAAAATAAATGGCCGCCGCAGAATTACACCGTGCTGCATATGAAGCGGCCGAGTGGCGGCCGCCGCGGCCGCACCGCTATCGGCCGGTCGGCGATTTAGGGCTGCGCTGCGGCCGGCGCCATATGCGACGCGGCGGCGGCACTGGCGGCGCGAGGTCTGTCTGTGCGCGCCGGCGGCCGGCCGGCAGTGACAGCCGAGTATGGCCGGAATCCGCCGGCGGCTCCGGCCCGCGGCCCACCACAACGTTCCTGCGCGCATTCCGGCCGCTCATCAGCATACTGGACCGCCTAATAGAGTGTTTGCGGCAAATCCGACCTGCCGGCATCAAAACAATGACACGGCGCGGCCCCGGTGGCGCATGGCGCGCGCCGCACACGCCGACGGCGGCCAACGCGGCGCGCCGTCATCCATTATCGTCTCCGGAGCGCCGCTGACGTCTCCAACCGCGATCCGGACCTGATTTTGACAAATTCGACGGTTGACAAGTGTTCGCACCTGTTTAGGTCGCGACGGGGCGCCTTCGGCTTAGTAAGCCCGCAGCTCTAATCTGGTGGATAAATTACCGATTTTGCAATTAGCGCCCCACTATAAATAACCGGGCCGTGTGTTTCTGTACACAAAGGGATTTGGTCGGCTCCCGGCGGCGCGGCCCGGCGGCGGGACTTCTGCGTCAGAATGCTGAGGGCTGGCACGGACGGGGGATGGGGGCGGGACGAGAGCTGGCGTGTCGCGGCCGCCGCCACCCATCCCAGTGGTTTATGTCGACCGGTGTCACCGACACGCCGTATATTACGGCCTGCCAGAGCCCTCCGCAGAATTAATCACTTCACAGCTAACCGGCTGTACTTTGGCACCATGCCTCTCCGCCGCGGCCGCTGCTGCTGCCACTAATGCTGCTGCTGCGGCTGGTGCAAAAGTCCAGATGGAGCCCAGAGCCGAGTTCAAACAGACCATGATCTTTACAAATCCGACTGAAGTGGACGATCTAGTGCTATGATGGATTCACTCAAGCATCAAATGTGTGAATGTTGGGATGAGTTTGTGAAGATGGTTTGGTTTAACGGTTGTTACGAACTAACTTTGATTTATTGAGGTTTTTGTGGTGACTTACCGCAATATAGTATATTTTTTCGAGAAGCCTTCAGCGAGGTTGCTCCTCATCTTCTTAACTTTTAAAGGGCAGCTTAAATACAGATGTATGCTTTCCTTTTGACTGATAAAAAGCTTGAGTTATTTCATTGTTGTATTTCTTTCAAATAATTATTTTACTTTCAAATGCAAGTGATTTCGTATGGACTGTGCAACAGGCGATGATATCATTGTTCGTTATCTCCAATAAACCATTCATTTTGGCAATATCACCGTTATCTTCATCGCATGATGAACCTCAAGTAGGGGAGAGTGGGGTACGATGCCCAGGGTGGGAAAGACGCCCCACCCCCTCTAGCGGCGAAACAAAGAATCGAACCTGGAAATTAATGTTCTTAGCGTAAAGCGGAAGCCTGCCTTGTTAACTGCATAAAAATTTGCTAAGCTCAGTTGGGCAACGGCTGGCTGGTGATTGCATGTTTTTTATTTGCTGCTTTCAAAAAATATTTTGGTGTCAAAACATTGTAAATATCAAAGAAGGTAGATAATTTTTGCGTACCTTGCTATAGTCGTGATACATTAACATGCGTGTACTGTGTCCCAAACAGTTTATTTCAGGGTGTAGTTTTATGGCTAACAAATTGTACTGATTTAATGTTACTTCGGTACCTTGGGGCTTGGGGTAAGATGCCCCCTGTCCTGATGGGGAAAGACGCCCCCCTAAATTCGTAGGCTGTCCTTCAAGCATCCCGTCAAATCATTTATTACATACTTGTGATTAGAGACAAAAGCCGATCTGGGACTATTGAGAGTCCAGTACGGTCGGGTGCTCCCCATGCCGGTCTCTCGGCCCATACAACGCGACTTTTTGGGCGGCATCTGACTCTGAGAGCCCTCACGACGGCCTCTGTGGGCCCCTCACGACATTCTTTGAGGGCTCCCACGTTGGCTCCACGGGCCGCGCTGGCATCTGGGGTCCACACGATGGGCTCGAGGGCCCTCAAGCATCATGAAGACCTACAAGGGCCCCACAGTGGTCTCCGAATGCCACCACGGAGGCTTGTTTGGCCACGCTGGACTATGATGGCCCTAACGATGACCTCTGAAGCCCCTTACGACTACTTTTGAGGGCCCTTACGATGACGTTTGGTGTCTACTGCAGGCTCGAAGGGACTGCTGATTCGTTCAGGCGATTCACGTGCCCATTTATGTCACTTATAGTGCAGGGGGCATCTTACCCAACGCCAGGGGGCGTCTTTCCCACCCTGTGGGGTAAGATGCCCCCTTTCACTTCTTCGGGGAAATGCTTAATAGCAAAAACAGTTATCATATTTCAGGCACGAAAGTGTGATATTTTTGGAGAAAAATGATGTCGGCTTCCGTTGAAACTCAAGTTTTTGCTTTCCGATCGTCATTTTCGAATAAAATCTGACATAGTAAAACCCTGGGCATCTTTCCCCACTCTCCCCTACCTACATGCATGTTTAAAATAGATGCTAAATGAAAAGCCCATATGAGTCAAAGTAGTAATAGGAAAGCAGAAGTTTTAATCTGTTTCGCACAGCGATATAATTTATCCGAGTCCATTCGGATACTTAGGATTACATTTGAAAAATACTGACTTAAAACTAGGTAAACATTGTTGTTTCCCTGCTTCCCATGGCAAAATGAATTTCCTGTCACAAAACCTGACGACTGGGAGCCGTGTGATGTTGTCGGCAGGCGGCAGGGTGTGTGATGCTGGAAGAGGGGTGTGACCTCGGCCCCGGAGTGCGCCCTGCGGCCCCGTCCCGGGTCATCCAGTCCCAGCCGGCGGCAGCTGACCGCCCGCCGTTCCACCGGCTCCGTCCCACCGAGAGGGGCCACCGGTGGTCATCATTTTCTAATCAAATTACGTGTAATGGAGGCCGGCAGTGCGGCGGCGGGCGGCCGGCCGGCCGGCTGGTGCTGTCCGGACGGACGGACGGGGGCCGGCCGGCCGCCGATCGGCGCCGAGCCGCCCGCGGGCATAAAACAATCGGCCGGCCGCTGATGACCGGGTGGACGGCAGCCGCCATCACAGGTGACGGCCAAATTACCGGGACGGCCCACCGGACACGGCCGGCGCGCCGCCGGACACACCGCCAGGACATGGCAGGACATGGGCGCCGGCCCACAGGACGGGGAGGAGGGCGAGATATGGACACGGGTAGGAAATACATGGAATTGGACACGTCATGAATAGGACAGGCCTCTGGATAAAGCTGTTTGGGCAACACAGGGAGAATTGGACGGTACATGAATATTTTGACAAGACATGGGTATTTTGACAAACTATTTGGGCTATTTGGAAAAGGAATAAATACTTGAACAAGACATGGACAGGACATGGTTGTTGGACATGAGAGACAATATTGGCTCATGGATTCCAGGAAAAACAGCATGACAATTTTAGTAGCTCATAAAGAAATATAGGTTGTTGCGGACTAAAGTTTGAGCTGAACGCCGTTAGCAGTTTACCGTGCGCGTTCTCTGCCGTGAGTCGTGACTCATTAGTAGTCTCTGCCGCCACCAGCCCGGCCCGTGCGCCGCCCGTGCCGCCGTGTCGGTAATGTGTTTGGGCAGCGGCCGGACAGGGCTGTGTTTGTCCGCGCGCGCCTCTGTCCAGCTCTGACTGTCCCCGTGTCGCGTCCAGTTGGTCTGTTCCCACCGGCACACACCCCGGGGCGGGGGAGCGGGGAGCGGGGAGTGGGGAGCGGGCGTGACGCGGTACTCAGCCTACCCGGTGCGGTGACGTCCAGTCGACTCGGCTCTGGGCCGGCAGCCTCACCTGAAACAACCAGAGGCAGCGGTCAGAGGACAGCGGGCAGAGACACGGTCACAGCAGTCAGAGAATAGCGGGCACAGGGGTAAGAGACATAGCGATCAGAGACACAGCGGTCAGAGACAGCGGTCAGAGACAGCGGTCGCCGGCCACAGCGATCAAAGTAACTAGTCGGATGAAAGTCGAAAGGTTGTAGGAAAGAGAAGAGAACTGGGAGTACACAAATGACAGTGGCACGGAGGACCACGAGACAAAGAGCAAGTAGGACATCAAGGGACAGGGAACAGAGAAGTAGAGGATGGTGAGGGAAATGAAATGCAGGGGCACATCGGCACTTCATCAGCACAGGCCAGGGCCCACACTCACAGTCATCAGTGGTGCGATCAGCGCGCTACATCGCAAAACAGCTGGCCGGCTGGGGTTAGTGATGAAACGTGCGCCGTTCGGGTGCCCCGGGCGGCAGTGATCACCTCAATTCGTCCGACAACCTGGAGTACCGCAATTATCTACCATCGCGGCGAGGGAGCCCCACTGATGGGAAGAGGTTAGTTCGATGGCGGTGGGGGCACACACTCCACGTGAAATCGACCCACCGCCGGATCGGGTCTGGTCTGACACCGACCTCTGGCGGCTCGGAGAGGGCGCCTGGCCGCCGCCGCCGCCCGTTTGCGGCTGGTGAGGGAGGGAGAGCCGGCTGCGCGGTTTTCGAGCCCCGCTCGGCGGCCCGTGTGCTCGTGTGGTTTGGGCAGCTGGGGTCGGTCGTGTCAGTGGCGAGGGAGCACTGACTGCGGTCTGTGACAGGCGCCGGCAGACAGGTCGGACAGCCGTCGGGCGACAAAAACCGACCCGACACGGCCAGAGAACCAGCCGACGGTGAAACAGCGGCCGGCGCGACCGACACCCGGGCCGGGCGGGTCCGCGGGGCCGCGGCTCATGGACCCAATTACACGGCCCTGGGTGCCGGGACAGCGCGCCGGCCGGCCAGCTGCAATTAACCGGCACTCGTAGTTTCTCGCTGCTGAGGTAGCGGCGGCAGTGACAGGCGGCGCGGAAGGAGGCGGCCGCGCCGGGCGGGCCCCCATTACGACACGTCGTAAAGTCGACGGCGGCGGCGGCGGCGGCGGCGGAGCACGTCGCGGCGGCAGCGCGCGACGCGGCCGCGCACCATTCAGCGCGCCCGGCCGGCCCGTAATGACGCCTCATTAGACTGGCGCGGTTGTCATTGGCAAACGGCTGGCCGTTTCTCCACCTTCCCGCGCACAAATTTGCACTAATCACGCGAGCGGCGGCGCCATGTTGGCTGGCGGGCCGCGGCGCCGGACGGCGATGGACATTACCGGTCTCCGCGCCAGGGGCAGGAAATGGAACGCCTTCCCGATACAGCTCGCAACGGACGGCGCTAATGATTTTTAAATTGAACGCCGCTGGTAATGACGGAATGTGGCGTTTGAGGCGCGCTGCTGTCGCCGCCGCCGCCGTGATGAATGGGCCGAAATGGCAACTGCCGCGGCCGGCTGATCACCGTAATTTCACCTGCCACCGACCGGCCGGCCGACGAGCCGCGCGGAAAACGGCGAGATATTGATGGATGCCGCCGGCCCCACGGCGCTGGCCCGGCCTGGCGCGGTTCGGTGGGTACTTTGGGGAGGGTTTTCGAGCTGTTACCGCCGTGGGCAGGGTTTGAGTGTGACGGTGCTGGCTGTCAGGGTAAGAGTGTGACGCTACCGGTCGTTGGGATTCGAGCTGGGTCTGTCAGTACCGGTCGGCGGTGTGCGGGCTGGGTCTGCCGGACCGGTACTGGAAGGGTCTGTCCCAGCTGCCGGCCCCCGCTTTGGAGGCGCGCGGCGGCCGCCTGCACACGGACCAGGTCGGGCCGTCGGGCCAGTAATTGGCCGGCCGCGGCCATGCAGCCGCGAGGGGCGGCGCGGCCGATATAAATTATTGCAGCCCACTCCGTGAGAACACTGAGCGTCGGCCGGGGGCGCGGCGCCGGCCGGCCGCTCCGCCGGCGGCGCCGCCCGGACGCCGGCCGGACCCACCTCCAAACACGGTCCGCTCCGGCCCCAGGTAGCGGCCAAATACTGGCCGGAGCGGCCACGGGCGCCGCCCAACCCCGGGCCACACCAGACCAGCCATTACTGAATTTATTGTGCGGCCTGCGCAAAAGCAGAGCCTGCAAGATATTCACCCAGGCGTTTTTGAACCAAGCTGCATGTACATATAATGGCGGCAGCCAGCGCCAAAATAAAACAAAAATAGCAGCTGACATTGTACCGGCCGGTACACTATCAGCGGCCGGTACCGTCGCACAGCGTCCGTGCCGGTTCCGAGCAGTCGCTGCGGGTCGGGAAGGATGTCCCGCTGCCGTCGGGGGCTGGACGAGCTGAGGTCGCCGAGCGGGGGACAAATACCTACGGGCGGCGACACTGTCCTCGGACGGTCACCGTGTACCGAAAACAACAACACGTCTGAAGACAGCGCCGGCCGGTACTCGTGTCCGCTCGGTACTTTCCCAGTGTTCCTGAGTTCCTGGCCATTTCAGCTATGCCGGCTATGCAGCTGGCCGTGCCCGTTTACTGCGGCGCACCGCCGGCCGCAGCAGTCCTTACCCAAGCTTTTAGCGTCTCTAAATGAGCCGTGCGCCGACCGCTCGCACCGGCGCCGTCAATAAAAGCTGCAAGACTCGTCATACTGGCCGCCCGACCGCGGCTCATGGGCGCCAGTCACGCCGGGTGGCCGCTCCGGCCGCGGGCCGGGGCCGGGTCGGGTCGGGTTGGGTCGGGTCGGCGCCGGACAGCAGTCACAGCGCACTCTATACAGGGGGAGGGGCGTCCCGGCCCCCGCCTCTGCTGACCGCCCCACCGCCAGCCCCCGCCGGCCGTTCATGTTGACAAACAATCCATCAGGCTGCCGCGCCGAGCGGGCAGGTCATTACCGCGCCGCGCCGGCCGGCCGCACTCCGAATTAAGAGCATGCAAACATGGCCCCAGAGTGGCCAAAACCCACGCGGCTGCAGGCCGGTGCACGGAGCCATGGCGGCGCCGGCGGCGGCCGGCCTCGTTCCTGGGACCGGCGCTGCATTTCGGCGAAGCGGCGCGCTCAATGTGAGCTACTCACGCCTGCCGGCCGGACGCAGCGGCGCCACGGCGCCTGCAGGGCGCCGCCACCGCCACCGCCGGGGCGCCGTATAGTACACCGACGGTACTCGCGCAGCCGAGGGTCTATGGGTGACATTACAGTCACTGAGACCGCCGGAGGTCACTGGGGCTCACTAGTCGAGAACACTGGAGGTTACTGTAAACCATTTGAACCCACTGAAGACTACCGGGGGCATTGGGGAACATCCGGTAAGCACACTCAGTTACAATGACTCATCTGTAAGATGATTTTCACATGGGAGTCCCTGACGGCAGGCCGGCGCTCCAGAACCCCTGGCCGGCCGGTCGGTACCCACGGCCGGCCGGTCTGATCGCCGGGGCGGACCGTGTGCGCGCAGAGCGTGCCGTCGGCCCGTAAATAAATCAGCGCCGACACCTCGCGGTCAATGCTCGGCCCGGTCGGCTGACGGAGCTAATCGACGACGGCAGGCGCCGCCGCCAGCGACAGCTCCTTCTTAATGTGGCGCGACGGCCGACAGCGCGGCGACAAACAATGATTCTTTGATCGGCGCGGCGGGTCGCGCGGGCCGCGAGGTGCCGGGCCGGGGTGTGCGTGAGACCCCGCGCCGCCGACCGGGCACGGAGCTGCGATTGGCCGGCGCGGCGGTCAGAAAAACAGCCCAGCTCGACTCCGAACAGATGGCTGGACAAACAAAACGTACGCAGCCTGACGTGCCGGCCAGCCGGCGGCGAGCACGTCCGCGTCCACGGCGGTTACGGCGGCTACGGCAGGCTAAGACGCAGTACAGTCCGGCGCCATACAGCGCCGGAGCCGACACCGCTGATTATTCCGACCATTCTCTAATGAAGCAGTTGATAGTATCGCGCGTTTTGCGTGTTATCAAAATAATGAGACGTCATTTATTCATTGGACTGTCGGCGACGGCTGCTGTTGGCAGCCTGCTGACGGCTGGCGGTGGTAGTGATATGCGCAGCGGGGGGCGGCTGGCCGTGCACTGCCTGCCCGCCGGGCACAGAGGGGTCCTCACGCCCCCCGCCCCGGCCGGACTGGTGAGAGCCGGGCGGCGCTCACCGGAACTGCCGAGGGCGCCCGGCGGACTGGCCGCTCGGACCATTAGTGGGCGGTCTGCTGTGGGGCGCCGCGGCCGTTACCGGTGTTACAGCGCCGGAGCTGTAGGAACCCATGGTGTGTGTGGGGGGGGGGGAGGGGTGCGGACCGGGCCGAACACCGCTACACCGCCCGACCTGCGCGCCATCTGCAGACCAACCCACTCGTCACCTCGCAGCGATGATGAATGCCCGCTCTTGAATTTGTGGTCTGATATCTTTACGCAACGTAATACTACAGGTGGAACCGCTTAAAGGTTAGATGATATACCTGCGTCAGCAGCCCGTAAAAACGCCAACGTGAGCGCATCTATCAGCGCATCTCAGTGGGAGCCGGTCGGTAATTTCCGCTGCAGCCGTGTATCATTTGGCGATGGACGGCGACCACAAATCATGATGCCCCGATACGATCGAGCGACACATGACACCCGACATGGGCTCTCGGTGTCTCCGTGACGCCGCTGACAGCAGACCGCGCCACGCTCGTCGCGGCTGCGCCACGCTCGCCGTCCAGCGCCGGCGGTATGACAGACGACCGTTCGCGCGGCCCGCGACAGCCGCCGGCACCACTCCGCCAGTGACGTCACCAGCAGAGTGTGACGTCACCGGTGTCAATGGCTGGTAATGGCCGACGATTCGTTAGTGAGGCGGGCTGTTTCAGTGACGGCGGTGTGAAAGCCGCGCATTAGGGCGTGACGACGTGACTGTCGCCGTGACGGCGATGGCCGGACGGCCGCTCGGTACCGCCCCTCTCCCCGCCCCACCAGAAGCACCGGTCGT